TGCATTTACCCGTAGAATATGCTATATCGTCACTAGACAGGAATAAAGGCGCGAGCTCAAAAGTTGACGGCGAAAAAAGACGCATACATAATTTTAGCGTCAAATACTCTTAACATACTTCGCCAAAGTTTTTTATAAGCATCTCTTTTCGCAAAATTTTTTTTAAACGCTTTTTTTCACCGTCAAAACACCAGCGCGCCTTTATTCGTATGTAGTGACGATATTTTTACAAAAAATTTATATTAAATAAACAAACGGAAAACTGTAAATACTAAGAATTGAAAGGGTGTGCAATTCAAATGACGAGGAGTGTATATGAGCAGATGTGACCACTACCCCAAGTAAACGCGAGCGTGAAAGCGTGATTGTGTTAGTGTGCCAATTACGTTTGAATGAATTTGCGTTCGCTTTGTTACGCTCTCGGATGTATTTGCATGTGATGCTTACGCTCCCCTCCAGTACTGCTGGAGTCAATCGCTATATTTGAACCGCTACTACACCGACTCCTAGGTAAGTATCTACTCTATTAACCCGTGGTAGTGCACATGGTAGTGCAGAGTCGAAGCAGAATAGCGAAAAACTACGACAGAGGGCGCCCATAAATCACGCAAGTGACTACTTTAGTAACTCCCGGTAGTGCAGAGAGAGCCGATGGTGACTACCGCCTAGGGCATTGCCTTGTAAAAGTAATCGATGGAACACACTGCAAGTAGTCGGTCGGTAATTGACGGTTTTATTAGGTAGCTACCGATTCAGCAGTCCTGTAGTCTGCAGGGTCTTTAAGCAGGCGCTCACTCTCTGTCCATGCTTGTATATGAGCAAATTTGACATCGATATAACTGTTGCCAACTTTGTGCCTTTCGCAAGAAATTAAGTGCGTTTAGGGAATTAAAAGGCGAAAATTGTTTAGTTTAGTGCTTGTTTTATTCTTTGGTGCCCTTTTCAAGGCAATTTTATAATAAAAACGTGATTCTATGGTGACATTGTATTTTACTTACACTTATTTTAGTGTTTGGCCGAGCTTCTCCTCTGGATAATATGCTCCAAGATAATCCAAACGCAATATTTTCACACAGTCTCTATCACGGAATCCATAGAATATTCTGCTAATTAGCTGGGTGTGCGCATTTGTACAAAAGTAAGCAATTGCATGAAAATAAAGCCTCTAGAAAAACCAAGTTTTGGAAATTGTTTTGCGAATAAAAAAACATTTTGCAAATTAAATTTATTAAATTGATTAACTGCGCATAGTTGGAAATATTTACAAGTTTCATTGTGTGATTACTTAAAATATTTGAACATACAGCTTTATATGCGAAAATACCTTTAAACACAGCAACACAAAATTGGTGTTTTTTTTTGGGAAAATTGCGCTATTTCCAGTATTTTGGTGCTTTTTTAAATAAAAAACTTGGCGATCAGGGCTGCCAACTTGGCTCAACCGTGCCATTTTTGGCACTATTTTACTAGAAATGGCACTGAATTTTTCAATTTTGCACAAAGTGCCAAAATGGCACTTTTGAAAAAAAGCCAAATTTAAATACATTTTTGTGAAATCCTTTGCGTGTACTTCTTTTTCTCAACTAAAATTTTCTAATTTCTATAGCGTATACAACTGGTTTATCTTACTTTGACATTGGGCTTTTGTTTTAATTTGTCTAATTTTAATGCTAATGGGAAGAACTAAAGAGAATGACACCTTTTTTGGCACTTTTAATTTCCTATTTGGCACGTTTCAGCACTTTTTTATCCTCAATATGGCACTTCATAGCTATGTATGTTTGGCAGCCCTGTTGGCAAATTTGATCACTGACCTTCACCGAGCTCTCTTTGCTGGGTTCGGACAACAAAAATGGAAGTAAATATCAAGTATTCGTAGTAGATGTGCATTTCTTATCTTTATAAAAAACAATTCATTTCTCCTCGTATACTTGTACAAATAAGGAGCTAAAGCGGCCTTATAAGGGTCGATATCTGTAGACTGGAAAATCGACCAACTAGTGGTTGAGATGTCATTTACACGGGCGATTTTGGTTGAACGACAAAAATCTACTAGAAAATCGACCCGAATGAACCAGTGATGGAAAAGTAGGTACAATTGTACTTTTTTCGGCTCTTTTTCAACATGAAAGTACATTCGGTACATTGCTTCCATTTTAAGTACATTTTAAGTTTGGCCAAATTATTTGTCAAGGAAATTTGTATGCCGATTTTCTTTTGCCAAGTGGATTTTGGTTAAACATATTAAAACATAGAACTTTTTGATAGTGTGCCATTGGGAATGAAACATTTAATAGCATGTCATTGTGAACGAGATATGTGAAACGAAGAAGTAACTAGCTTTTATGTGCGCGCAATTTGAATGAATAATTAATGAAAGCCGACAAATTAGAGAAACTGCAATGGATAAGTAAGTTTCAAACCGTTTTTTTAATACAAACTATTTCATTTTTGAAACGTGAAAATGCAGCTGCAGGCAATGATGAGAAGTAAGTGTGACAAAGTTCAACTAGCGCAAAAAAATTTACCGATAGCATTTTTCTCATATTTAAGCAATAACGAAGAAAGCAACGTAGTTTCCGTGGCGAAAAAGAAAAAGTATGAGATCAAATTTAAGAGGGAGTGGGCATCCAAGTACAATTGGCTCCAAGAAGACTCTACCGCAAAGCAAGGTAAGAGGTGCATGATATGCGGTGTTCCAATTTACGGCAATATGTTTCACATCGATCGGCATGCAAATTCAGACCTCCATAAAAAAAATGCTAATATTGCTAAAGCAACCTTAAAAATTTCGAGTTTTACTAAGCCGAATAGCGAGGAAATGGAATTAAGTCGCTCAGCAAAGGCAATGGAGATTCGTTTGTGTATGTTCGTTGCTGAGCACAATTTGCCATTTACTGCTTTGGACCATTTGGCAAAATGTATTAAAACGGTAAAAGACTCACGCATAATTTCAAACCTGAGCATAAATAGACATAAGGGTCAAAATATTATAAAGTCAGTCAATGGTCCTGAAAACTGCAGACAAATTTCTGAAATAACAAAACAACAATATTACTCCGTGATCATTGATGAAAGCACTGACATTTCCATGGACAAAAACTTAGCAGTTATAATTAGAGTTTTTACGAACAAATGTAGAGATAGATTTTTGGACTTTGTTCAAGTGTCTGATTCTTCTTCCGCCGGAATTTTCAATGCGCTTTTAAAAGTTTTGAATGATCATGATATTCCGTTGAGCAATCTATTGGGATTTACGGCAGATAATTGCGGTGTCATGATGGGCAAACGAAATGGCGTCCAAGCAAAATTAAAAGAAATTTGCCCTAAAATCTTTGTTATTGGCGATGTATGCCACAACCTTAATCTATCGTCCGAGGCAGCTGCATCAGTTCTTCCACAAGAAATAGAAAAGTTAATTCGCTCTATAAATCACCACTTCTGTCATAGCGCTAGTAGAAAAATAGAGTTTGAAAAATTTCAAGAAGATTTTGGAAGTGCGGTTCATAAGATTTTGCGATTTAGTTCAACACGATGGCTTTCGCGGCAGGTAAATTTTCTTTTTAATAATAGTTGTTCAATACATTTTTTTATTTGAAGTATTACATTATGATTTCAGATTGTAGTTGAACGGATATTGGAGCAGTGGAGTACTTTACAATACTACTTCGGTTTATGCAATTTCGAAGCAGGATTTGGCAATGAAAGTAATAAGTTTATTGCAAGTACCCTTTCAGATTCTAATATAAAACTCTACTTCTATTTCTTGTCGTACGTTCTTAAAGTTATAAACACTGTTAACATAGAAATGCAAGCGGAAGAGTCACACATTCATGTTTTATATCCCCGCTTGACATTTCTTTTTAATCAAATATGCCGAAATTTTATAGCGAAAGAAAATATTTGTACCAATTCAATATATTCATTGAATTTAGCCAACCACATACCTGTTGAAAACATTTTTTGTGGAACGGAAACTGAGCTGTTTTACACTGACCAAAACCTAACAGCATCGGAAATTTTTCAATTTAAAAATAACATTTTGAAATTTTATATTAAATTTTGCGATGATTTAAGAAAAAGAATAGATTTTAATAATGAAATTTTAAAACTCTTACCGTCAATTGCGCCGAAGGAAGCACTATCTGGTAATATTAATAGCATTTTACCACTGATTTTAAAATTGTTTCCCGAAACTGAATTAAAAAAAGCTGAACAAATTAACACCGAGTATCGAGCATTGTCCGATTATGCAGAAATTAAAAAAATCGAAAACCTTCCTGTATCTGAATTTTGGACTGAAGTCGGCAGAATAAAAAATGAACTAAATCAGCCAGTATTTTCAAATATATTTCGCGTTGTTCAGGGTTTGCTTGCTTTACCACACTCCTCTGCTTGTATTGAGAGAATTTTTTCAATTCAGAACCTAGTTAAAACAAAGTGTAGAAATAAACTGGCGCTAGGCACATGTGCCGCATTAATACAAACAAAGGACTTAATTAGATGCAATGAAAGTTCTTGTTTTGATTTGAAAGTGGAGACTTTACTCGGCTACCGTCTTCAAAATAAAAACCTTAATGAAAATGAATTAATTGACTAAGTTCTATACCGAAAAAAAATATGCACCAGCTTTTTATATTGAAATCAAAAAATATTTTGAGGTCGCTCAAAGCGCTCAAAGTTTTACACGTATATTATATTGGGAAAAACAATTTTTCGTAGCAATGATAGAAAATACATATATATTTTTAGATCAGTAACCTCTGTTTCCGTTCAGGAGACTTAAAAAAATAATACCGAATTATTAATTTAATCTTTTTTTAATATTAACTATTATTTATAGATTCCACCATAGGGGACCCATAAAGAATCGTTAATATTAAAAAATATATAAACAATCCGGTAGTATTTTTTGACGTCTCCTGAAGAGAAACAGAGGTTACAGATCTAAAAATATATATATATTTGCTATCATTGCTACGAAAAACTGTTGTTTCCCTAATATAATATATGTGAAGAACTTTGAGCGCTTTAAGCTACCTCAAAATATTTTTTGATTTCAATATAAAAAGCAGGTGCATATTTTTTCGGTATAGAACAATCCTTGGGGTGAGAGCATTAAAATTCCGACTTTAAATTTTTTTGGACCATCCTAAGGTACATATATAAAACGCATAGCGTAAAATAACGTATTTTATATAAGTTATTTAATTTTATGTTTACAAAACTATGCAATACAAAGTACAAAAATGGAATAGTACAAATAACTGTATATATATATGTACGCTTTAGCACTTGCAATGTGTTTTTCTTTCAATAAAGGCTGTATATACATACATATGTACATATAAAAGTGTCTTCTTTTTTTAGGTACATTTGTCCGCTTTTAAGTACAATCTTCTTGTCATATTAAGTACAATTTGGAAAATTCATTTTCCATCCCTGGAATGAACACCATTTCATGATTTCAATTAACGCGAAATAGAGTTTATGCACTTAGTTTTTACTCAGATCGATGAAATGATTTCGTGAATTGGACTACGCATACATGTGATACTTATGCTTTTAATTTATAAGGTAATTTTAGACAACTTAAAACCACATTTATTTAAAAAAAAACAACAAAAGAGAGGAAACAAGTGTATGTATATAAAATGTAGCTTTTGAGGTTTATTATCAGGATAAATGAAAAACTTTCGGTATTTACACAACGTTTTTCAGTTCTCGACAGGTACTCATTCTGAGCAGACGTGTTTGCTTACTCTCGGTTTTCTGTTGAAGCTATCCTCTCGGCGTTTGATAAACGAACACGTGTTTTTTTGTACACTTCTTTTCCGGAAATTTTTCTCATACAAGTGCATTCTAGATAAGTGCCTTTATTGTGAAATAGCAAAAACATGGCCCCCGGGCCACCGAATCTCGTGGATAATAGGTTTGCGCCGCTTGCCTCGGATCCCCAGTCAAAAAGAAAAAAAGCCACTTATACGCCTATGGTATTCCCTGATTTACCACAAATAAAAAAAGACAACCCCAAATTTCTTACAATACGTTCCACAAACACTAACAAGCCAATTTCTAAATATTCGTGTTTTGCGGTCCACAAAGCCCTCGAATCAATAAGCAAAGAAATAATTTCAATATCCGAGCTACGTGACAGTAATCTTTTGCTTTTAGTCAAAAATACGCAAATAGCACTAAAATTTATTTCGGCTAAAAAACTCTCTAGTGTTTGCCAAATCGAAGTGAGCTGCCATGACAACTTAAACAGTTCGAAGGGAACTATTATTGCTCCCTGTTTGAATAATGTGGATGAAATAGAAATTATAGAAATTACAAGGTGTCGTCTCTGTGTACAAGTTTACTAACACAATCAACAATGAAACGAAATACACTGGAGTCGTACTCCTTACTGTCGATCTCTATAAGCTCCCTGAATGGGTGGAAGTGTCTTGGCGAAGTGCAAGAGATAGACCTTATTACCCCAACCCGATGAGGTGTAAAACCTGTCAGCTTTTGGGACACACAACCAAACGCTGTAATAATCCTCCAGCTTGTCATACATGCAACCTTCCCCTTCATCCACCCCCATGTACTCGCACAATATGCGTAAACTGCCCAGGCATCATCTTCTAATGCTTGCCCAAGGTACGTACAATCAAAAGAAATACTCAAAATCAAATGCCAAAATAAGAGTTCAATGCGCGAAGCGCATAAACTTTACAAACAACAAGAACCAACAATGCTCGACACCCCTTTTTCTGATATCGTCAGAGTACAACAAAACAGCAATGGATCTAACATAGCCATGGCTACTGTACTGAAGCCAGCAACAAACGCTCACGAAAATTCACCTTCATCCACTTCTTCTTTTAACATCCAATCTCACGCACACTCTAACAGGGATGAAAAAGTAAGTACAATTGTACCTTTTTCCGACGTTTGATGACTTAAAGGTACATTAGGTACAGTCACTAGATTTTAGGTACAATCATCTTTTGATCAGATGCATTATTAGTTTTTTTTCCTTTACCGTGCTAATATATTTACTTATAGGTACGGGAGAAGTTTCGCTTTCATTTTGAAGAATAAACAATTCTAGAGAAAAGTGGTCAAAAGGAAGACATAAAAAAAAAAAACCATATTATGTATTATCTTAAACATTTTACATTGCATTTAGTGCAGGCACTACGAAAAATTAACACTTTACTTAGCTTCGTAATTTTTTTCTATTAAATTTAACGCTTATTTTCACTAAGTCAAATTCAGTGGCATTTGCGGTCAAATGAGTGAAATGGGACTAAAAACTGGCCTTGGTTTGATTTAGATCAGAATAGGCCTTCATTGTCAAGTGGGATTAAAAAATGGTCTTTGGTTTGATTTAGATCAGAATAGGCCTTCAGGCGTGTACATGCGCTGCTAAGGCGGCTACTTGTAAGTTTTTGGCCCATAATAGGATGTCTTCAAATTTCATATTTTTAAATGAGAACTACAGCTATTTGACCCATACTCGCTTTCTGATTTCTGGAAATATATTTAAAATGCTTTCGAAGTTACTTACGGCACATTGATAACATTCTCTAGATTTGCTGCACCTATCAAAAGGAATCGGATAAATTAGCAGACTTCCTGTTGTTTTATAAAAAGCTGGATAAAGAAGTATACTTCGCAAAGTGTGTTTTTTGTCTTTTTCGCCAATATTTTTCAGTAGTCAAAATTAGACAAAAACAATGCTTCTCCGATTCCCATTAGACTATAGTCTATAGATATAGGCTCAGTTGAAAAACCTAATCATGTTTAAAGTACATATATCTTTTGTATTCATGTTTTAAATAAAATTTATAAAAAAAAACTACAAATGAATGATGTATCTTTTTTAGGTACAATCTGTCTCATTTAGGTACATTTATTTTGTGATATTAGGTACAATCTGAAATTTCCATTTTTCATCCCTGCACTCTAATACAATAAACCCCACAACAGAAAACAACAACAACCGTCAAGTTAACAACCTTCAAACACCTATTGCCGATTCACTCGATAATTCCTCTAACAATTTTTTCAAAACCAAACCGAATTCAAACAATTACACAGTACAAAATAGCAACAATCAACATGTACAAACTTCATCATCATCAGAAACAAATAAACTTCACTTCGATTCTTTACCACAATAATTATTACATACTTCTTTCCATTTAGATTCCACTCCCTCTCATATTCTCGCACAAGCCCACAACATCCAAACTCAATATGCTCCACAAATCTCTACAGCAGAGACTGCTGTCACTTCATAACAAATATAACAAAACAAGTTTTCCCACATCATAATAATGATGATCAACTCATGTCAGTTGACACCCTACAGTGATTTACCCCATAATTTCTACAAATTATATGCTATGTTTAAAATTTTGCAATGGAATATAAAAGGTTTCTACAATAACTACACTGAGTTTGAGCTGCTGATAAAAGAGCAATCTCCGATCTCTTCAGGAAACTCACTTGGCTCTTGGAAAACCCGCACATGTTCCCAAACAATTTCAAAGTTTTTTTCACAATCTACCGCATAACAAGCAAAACAAACAAGGTATTGTGGTTTTGGTAAAAAAGAACATTCCGCATAAATTAATCCACATTCAATCAAATATCTCCGTTCTTGCAATTGAAATTTCACTCAGTTTTAACTTTACGATTATATCTTTGTATATACCCCCACAACAAAATTTCACACGCAACGATTTAACTAATATAATAAACTCTATTCAGACTCCCATAATAATTTTAGGCGATCTTATCGCCTGGAGTCCTCTTTGGGGCTCCAACATCTGTAATAAAAGAGGTGAAATCTTGGAAGATTCGATTCTGACAGAAAATCTCACAGTTTTGAATGACAATAAACCTACACACTTCTCTGCACATTCCTCGTTTACTAACATAGACTTAACAATATGTTCCACAAATATAGCCCCGAAACTTTGCACCAACACATTAGAAGAACTGTACGGTAGTGACCATTATCAAATTACTACTATTCTACTCATTAGTTCAGGAAATATCACATCCGTTTGCCCCAGGTTTTTAACAGACAGATCTGATTGGGAGAGCTTTCAAAATATAACTACCAAACTTTCGAACGAGTCACCTCTATCTAAAAATATCAATCAAGAAGCCTCCATAATCACGAAAATTATTCGCACCGCAGCTCATCACTCTATTTCCCAAACTTCCAAGAAAAGTGCTAAAAAACTATTCCATATTGGACCGATGAACTTTCTAAGCTAAGAAATGAAAAAAATGCCCTCTGGACGGAACTTCGAAAAAATAGGTCTGACAGTAATTTAACTAGTTATAAAAAAGCAAATTCTTTGTTCAGGAGTAAATCAAAACAAGCAAAAAGAGATTGTTGAAATAAATTTTCCGAAAAAATCGACCACAGAACAAATACTAAGAAAGCTTGGGCTGATATCAAAAAGCTCTCAGGTTCTTATAACCAAACAAATATTCCTTTCGTGAACAGCCCCAGCGGCACCATTCTTTGCCCAAAAGATATGGCAAATTATTTTTCTGCAGTTTGGTCGGAATATTCATCGGACTCAAACTTCGACCCATCCTTCACATCAGCTAAGAACGAATGCTTAGAAAAAAGCAACAACTATAAAAACTATGCTGGCGACCTTGCTAATTCCGAAATCGATACTGTCTAGTTAGGACTAGCACTGGGGACTATGTCTGTAAAACTCCAGGCGGTGATAGAATATCGTACCCTATGCTCCAACATCTTCCTAGTAGCTTGAAACTTAAAATAATTGGTCTATTCAATAATATTTTAAAGAAAGTAATATATCCATCTGGGGAAATTACTAGAAAAAAATTGCCAAGCGCATCTCCTGGTACGCTTCAAAACACAATCTAATTAGTTCGCAGTAAATTGCATTTAAACAAGGTGAAGGCACTATTGACACTTTAGTTCTGTTCGACAATTATATCTCTTCCGCGCTTTCCAACAGTAATCATGTCCCATGCTAAAGCCTCGACTTCGCGAAAGCTTTTGATCGAGGCGGTGTGCACGCAGTTTTGCGTCAAATTGAAAAATGGAACATGAGTAAAGCAATATTTGACTTTTAATATTTTTATTGAGCTTTGTACCACGATTGTTTATTAGGAAAAATTGAAAAAGCAACAAAGTCTAAGCGGTAGAAGTTATAGCACTATTTCGGAGATCACCACATCTCCTCATCAGACTTCTTTTTCNATTCAAAGTCAGAAGCGTTAACCACTGAGCTATATACATCCCGTAAACTCTTGCTGCTAATTAATTTTCCTTATCTGGTGATCTCCGAAATACTGCTATAACCTCTACCGCTTAGACTTTGTTGCTTTTTCAATTTTTCCTAATAAACAATCGTGGTACAAAGCTCAATAAAAATATTACAAATAAAATGTTAACAAGCCACAATAACATTGACAAATACATGTTTGACTTTGTCAAAAACTTTTTTTCAAACCGCAAGTTTAAAACAAAAATAAACTCCACCCTATCCGATATGTATGATTTACACAACGGTATACCGCAATGTTCCCCGCTGTCAGTAGTTTTGTTTAGCATTGCATTTAATGAAGTAAATAACATAATAGTTAAATTTAACAGTATTTGACATCTTTGTTTGCCGATGACGTCTTTCTCTTTACAAGAGTAAATGATTTAAATGTAGCCAAAAAAGATCTTTGTGATATGCTTTCTAGCATCTCAAACTGGTCCAAAAATTCAGGCGCTAATATTAATGTAAACAAATGTAAAACCCTTCACATTTGCCGTACGCACAAGTGTAGTAATATAAGTCTGAATTATAATCACGTAAATATCGTAACTTCAAATAGTCTTAAGTTTTTGGGTATTATTCTTGATAAAAGATACACCTTTAAAGAACACTGTTTGTACCTCAGAAAGCAGCTGGCTGCCAGGTTAAATGTTATTAAGTATAAAAGTTCGAAACACTGTTAGTTAACGCTTCCACCTTAGTTAATGTAACAAAATCAGTTATTCTATCGAAGAAAGACTACGGTCTTCCAATATATGGAAACTGCGCAAAGTGCAACATAAAACACCTGTATGCCCCATCGTCTGTAGTAGCATCAGAGCATTTCAAAAGTCACCTACCAGATTCATACTTTCGGAGGCTGGATTGCCAACCATCGAAGAGAGAATTTAGCTTAACACCAAAAAACTAGTCTCTAAACTTTTTATTTGTAATAACAACGCACTTTGCCAATCGGTTATTACTGAAATCAATCGCAGCCGCCCTCTTAGACAAAAATCCGTAATATCCAAATGCACTGGATACCGGATAGTCGGCCGCTATGGTGTAGTGGTAAGCAGTGCGCGCTTCCACTCCGCAGCACCTGAGTTCAAACCCTGGTCAAAGCAACATCGCAAAAAATATAGAAAAAAGGGTTTTTCTTAACAGCGGTCGTACCTCGGCAGGCAATGGCAAACCTCCGAGTGTATTTCTGCAATTAAAAACAGCTTCTCATGAAAAAACTGTAGGTCCCTCCGCTTTGTGTGACAACATCAAGGCGCACACCACAAATCGGAGGAGAAGCTCGGCCAAACACTAACATATGTATAAGCGCCAATCTATTATTATTATTATTATTATTAAATAACGGAAAGAGCTTGGAATCAACACCCCGATACTAAGCCAGAAAAAGGAATTTTCACCATGGTTGTTGAACAAGTCACCTTTTATCCTACACCTCAGTAAACATGCGAGAAACATCACAAGCCCAACGGTTTACCAACAATTATTCGCCAAAGCTTTATCTCCATTTCTTCCAGTGTGGCAACTGTCTTCACCGACGGATCCAAGTCCGTAGACTATACTTCATTCGCAGTAGTCAATTCTTCCGGTGATACGATAACTGCAGGCCATTTACCTCATTTTGAATCTGTCTACACAGCTGAAGCCGCAGCGATTTTGAAAGCTATCAATTTCGCTGAAAGTTGTTCTTCTAAAACAATAATTTGTACAGACAGCATGTCAACTATAACATTTATACTAAATCCTTCGAACAGTAACTATTGCATAAGCTGCATCCGCAACAAATTAATCGAAAACAAAGATACAATAAAAATCATGTGGGTTCCTGGACTCAGTGTAATAACAGGAAACAAACTTGCGGACCAGCGTGCTAAGGAAGCCGGAAAATAGCCACTGCATACCTTCCAATTTCTTGACAAAAATGATATACATAAATTTTTCTCATCACAACAGAGGCACAAGTAAGTGATTGACTGGAAAACCATTCAACATCACTACACACAATTTAATGTCGACAGAAGTAAACCCAAATACCCACCATCAATTCGGTGCAACGGCATCAAAGCTTTCGTTCGACTTCGCTTGGGGCACACTATAGCCACACACTCATGCAGACTCGCTGGTCAAAACCCACCAAATTGTCAATACTGTTTTGCAACACCACTAACCTCCACACACTTAAAGCGCAAACAGTCAACGACGTAGCGTAGACGTAGGTTGACGCAGACACGATCTAGCTTATGGCATTCGCATGTTAACGAAAACTCACCACCGCATGGCGGTGACGTTGCCGTTGCTTCTCTCTCTCTATCAACAGTAAATTTTATATGCTGCTACGTACGTCAACCTACGTTTACGCTACGTCGTTGAATAACTGAGCTTTTACTCAGCGATTGCCCTCATTTTTTCACGTGTAACAGCAATTGTATTGTTGGTTCACGCTTAAAAAACAAAAAATAAAATAAATATATAATACACAACGTTTCAGAAATATACATGCGACTGTAACGTTAACAACAAAAATTTTGACCATATGGTCTTCAGTTGTGTCTCACTTTAATTGATTTTAAGTACGTAAAAAAATTATAACTTTTAAGTACTTAGTTTGGTTAAAAATGTTAGGTTATTTCTGAGCTCGTGGTCACTTGGCCGGGGTCCTTTCGGATCGGAGGCCCATGGCATTTTGGGAGCCCTGCCGCCCTGTAGTTACCCCTCTGCTTATTTGACAAGTTAACCCGAGTCACCCCTCCCCAACCAAAATTCTGTATACGCCATTGAGTTAAATGAAGTGGAATAAAGTTTGAAGTACAAATCAGCATACATTTCAGAAAAATAAGGGTATTTGCGCACTGAATTGAGAATTGAAAGTTTTCAGTACAGTGAAAGTTCAGTACGTACTTCCCAAATCAGTACGTAAACGTAGGGTTATAACCAGAGCTCGGCACTACCACAAACAAGCGTGAGCTAAAAGTGAGAATGTGTTAGTATATCCAATTCATTTTGCATGCTCGCGTTCGCATCGTTCCGCTCTCGCTTGTACGTACGTACACGCGATGCTTACGCTCTTTTAGCACCTGCTAAGTCTCTGCCCATGCCTGATATAATTCTTATCCGCGAAGTAAAAAACTATTTTTCATCTCATAACTATAATGAAACAATTGTTTTCGTTCGAATTCGGACAACTTNTTGCTTACGCTCTTTTAGCACCTGCTAAGTCTCTGCCCATGCCTGATATAATTCTTATCCGCGAAGTAAAAAACTATTTTTTATCTCATAACTATAATGAAACAATTGTTTTCGTTCGAATTCGGACAACTTTTTAATTAGAAATTTCGAGATAACAGTTATTTTTGGTTCCTGGTTAGTATATTGCATAGCTACTTACATTTTCAGCACCTCCAATCAAATGAGAAACTACGACCCATTATTGAGTCTCGTTTTTGCATTGACAATTCGAAGATTTGTAGTCTCATAGCCGTAAGTTCTTCGAAAGTGTCGTGCTGGTAGGCCCCTACATTAGATCACAGCAGTTTATGGTTTTGTCGGTTCCTTGCAGTTGATGTAAGTGCTAGAATTTTTAGTGGTTGGTCAAAGTACTTACATACATGTGTATGCACATTTACATATATATATTAACCTTCATATGCACATACATACACATATCTGTGGTGTCAGATATACAAAGGATAGCTCAATTTTTTTTTAAAAGCACAATTGCATTTTCAATTAAACATTTAAAATTTCAGAGAAATTTTTTACTGGTACATACTTTACAAACAAGTTCTATGCGCATACATAAATTTCAATAGAATATTATAACAATAATAAGTTTTAACTTATAAGGATGCATTTATTTTTATTAATTTATGTAATTTAATCCACAAAACCAAAAATATCAAAATTCGAGTTATCATTTATGTACATACGTATGTTCTTGGGGCCACAGATATGTACTTGTGTGTTCATATGTATGTATCTACTTACCTACTGGCATCAGTTTATATCAGTGAAGATTGTTTCTGCTCATAATACAAATTTTAAATCAAAAGCTAGTTGTCATATTTTTTGTTTTGCAAACGGATTGATTTGTAATTAACTCAGACAAATACTTTATGTATGTACATTGTTACATTCAATATATCGTTTTCAGGACAACGTTTCACAACTGTTTATAGATATCTTTACCCAAATGAGCTTGTTTATGATTTCACTGTTATATATATGAAAACTCGTTCAGCGATGTTTGCGTAAAATGCTTCGTTTAAATAGACATATTCAATTTATTCAATGAAGTTAATGTAAACATTGGACACCTGACTCTTAAATACAAATTTGTTTTTAACTTTGTAGAGGACCAAGTTCGAATTAGTTGCTCTTATTCATATATGTGCATATGTATGTGTATGTACGGCTATATACATAAGCACATTCTCAGTTGCATATATGGATAAGTAAACGTAGCGTCTTATACATGCATACATTGTATGGACGTGGTACTAATCGATTTAACAAATTTATCGCAGCAAATGAAGGTCGATTTCCAAATCTATAGTCGTGGATTAACATTCCACAATCGTTTTCATGGATTAAACTGCCTTGCATGAATTTATTTAAAAGGATTTATGTATATAAATCTGTTGCTTGACTTAGCTTTTTGGAATTTTTGTGGTTATAAGTTGCAAATTATTTTAGCTTGTTTAGAAATTTCGCAAAATTATTTTACATTTTAAAATTCCGTTCTAGACTTGTCGGTTGTACTTGTGTATCGACCTTTTCGGTTCATCATAAGGACAAATTGATTGAAGTACACATAGCGCTTTATACATACATTCTTACGTACGTGGTACTAATCAATTTAAAAGGTTATCGCAGCAAATTAAGCACGATTTTCAAGTACATAGTCGTGGTCTAACACTTCCCACTTACATTGTTGGTTCATCATAGGGAAAATAAAGTACGAGGGCGGTGCTTCGAAAAACTTAAAAAACGGAGTGTCAACGATTAGAGTAAAAAAGTAAACCACTATAAATAAGTAGTTTCTTAAGTTAAAAAAATTACAACATTACTGAGCATTTCGTCATCGTTATAAACCAAAATGGATTCTAAATTCGATAGAAAAATACTTATGTTGCAACAAAGTCCGAACTCAGATTTATCGTCTGTAATTTAAATCCTTCTCTAAGAAAATTACATTCAATATTGAAAGAGTACAAATACGCGCACATACAGTGAGAATATTTTCTGTTCTGCGCATGGCTGTAAAAAAATAAGTCAGCACAACGAAGCAGCCTGGATGTTCCCGTTCCCATTTACATACATACGTACATACACATATGTGTATATATACATATATAATACATTAGGGGTGTTCTCGAAGTCTTGCACGTTGCACAGATTGTACGAAACGCAATAATACTGTTCCGAATTTGAAAGGCTACGAAAGCGCCCCATTACAAAGTTGTGGAAGGTAGCAAGCAGCAAAAGTATGTGCCATATACAATAACGAGATGCACAAAAAAAAAACCAAATGAACGAAATTAGAGAAATATACAGCAGTTCTAACTTCAAAACAGCTCGCAAAAGGGTCGTATTTATCTAGCTATAATTTTTCGCAAAATATATGAGCAAATCTCACAAGTTGTTTTTGTTTTAGTATCAAGACCCCGCCAAATAGAAATTATTTTCTGCGTCACACGGATGCTTTTGACTGACATCCAACTTAACTCTGTGATTTTGAATAGAAGACGTCACATTGGCGACGCGTACATTGGTGCAACTGATAAAATACGCACATGCGGCAAAACAACCATAGCAAAAATATATGGAAAGAATTCAAACCAGCTGATTTTTTACCAATCAAGTTGAGCCGGTTTGTTTGCAGCAACGTTTTAATTGTGCCGTCTTCGCTATGTTCTGTTCGTTTTGTTAGTCAGAAGCATCCCTGTGACGTAGAAAATATTTTTTAACTGGGAGGGCCTTCACTCCCTTCTCTCGGCAGTAAAAACAAAGGGCAAAAGCAATATTCTTACATATATTTCAATCGACGGAGTTCCAGAAACAAATACAATAAAAAATAAATCAAGTATTTGATCAATATCAATTTTAAAACGTTAATTTAGGCGAAAAACTACCAAATTACATACTCACTTTTTCATTGTTACTCGAGAAAATCATCATTGTTTTTTAATCACTTTGGGAAGTTTTCAAATAGCATGTTCTTATTACAGGCAATGGACATTGGCACCAAATACAAGTTCTCTGTGAAGAGTTTACCACGAAATTAATAAATGGCAACATGCAGAATATCTGTCGCAGCTATGTATGTACATTAGAGTGCATCACCAAAAAAAGTTTCGGTTTTTCCGCCGGGATTACAAAACTTATAACATTTTAAGACGTCCACCAAAATATTCCGGAAAAATATTAAGATTTAAGTGAGCTGGACCGATTTGAAAATACCTCAAAAATGGAGTTTTTATGAATAAAAATAGTTTCTGAAAGAACTTTTTGAAAAAAGTCCCCTCAGATGACAAAACACATTAAGCTTAAAAAATCTGCATAAAAATATTTAAAAATCTTTTCAACTGAATCATAAAAATGAGATTTTTGATGCTGTTTTTTTTACTTTGTTCAAAGATTGATTTACGAAAAACTTGAATAACTGGGCCAAAACTATTCTGATTTAGACTTGTGGGATCTCAGTAGAAAGGTATTTTCACACTGTTTTTATTTCTGTCGAAAAAAAATCATTCGTGTCCCAATTTTATTTTTTTCAAATACCAACACATCTTAATTCAACTTTGAATGAAGTTCGTTCATCCTACCTTTCTCTTTCATTCCATGAATGAGTTTATTAGCAAAGAAATAAAAAGGGTGAACAACTACGTTTCCACCGCTACCTCTTAAGTCTAAATCAGGAGAGTTTAGGCTCAGTTATTCAAGTTTTTNACACCTCTTAAGTCTAAATCAGGAGAGTTTAGGCTCAGTTATTCAAGATTTTCTTATACCAATCTATGAAAAAAGTTAAAAAACAGCATCAAAAATCTCATCATTACGATTCCGTTAAAATTTTGTTTTAAATATTTGTATGCAAATTTTTTAAGCTTAAACCGTTTTGTCATTTGAGGGGATTTAAAAAAAATTTTAAGAAACTATTTTTATTCATAAAAAACTCAATTTTTTGAGGTATTTTTGAAATTGGTCCAGCTCACTTAAATCTTAATATTTTTTCGAAATATTTTGGTGGATGTCTTAAATATAATAGATTTTATAATTCCAATGGAAAAATAGTACCGATTTTGTTTTTGTATGGGGAGTGATGCAGTCTAATGTACATATATTATGATTTTTGAAATTTTACTTTTTTATTTGTTTTTTAATAATTTTACATAATTCAAAATGTTAAATTAAACGGCGAAAATGTTTGTATTGTAATAAAAGTAGTTGTTAAGTATGGAATTTATTACAAATCTGACAGCCTGGGAGTTGCTTAAAAATATAAGCGTTAAGAATTTAGATATATAAATCTGGCAACCTGCGAGTTGCATGAGCTAAATACTTTAAATAAAGAAGGAAGAAAGAACGCGAGAAGAGTGGTCCTTTTTATTTGGAGTTGGCTTATTTTGGTGGATTGGGTTTAGCCTTGGCTACACTAAGATCAAAACATTGGTCCATGTAGAGCCGGATCAAAGCCGGATAAAAGAATTGACAATTAAATAAACGCATGTAATTGTAATTAACAAAATTGTATTTTTCCTTTGACGGAACGAGTGAGTTGCTGGATGCGTACATATTTACGTACGTGCGCGAATGTGTGTCTCTTTTTATCGCTGTTTGCTGTTGGCATTGTACTGTGTGGGGACGTGAACCGGTTTTGAACCGAACCGGTTTTGAACCGGAAAACCGATTTTTTCTATTAATTAACTGAACCATTAACCGAACCCAAATTTTCTACAAATGTTTGATCCGAACCGAAAACCGAACCACTTTCTATAAAGGTTTAAAGGTTGGCTTCAACCAATTTTCAATAGATAAATTTACCAACTTGTTTTCCTTTTTTTAAACATGGTAATACCTACCATGTTTGTTTACCATCTGACAATATCAAATGTAAAGGCAACCCATCTCATTTGACAGACACTTGACCCTTAACCTTGCGCGTTGTTGCACTTGACATTTAAACTTCCGCGTTATTGTGTTGTTTTTCGAACCGTTGAACCGAACCGAAACCCCGGTTCAAAGACCAAAAAGACCGCTTTGACGAACCAATCCAAAAGTGCAAAAACGGTTCGAACCGCTGTACCGAACCGACCAAATTTTTCATCCGGTTCACGTCCCTGGTACTGTGTGTACTATGTATACATGCAAGAATGATAGAATACAAGATTGTGCCAATCGGGCCGAGAACAACTGGCCGTGACGTCAAAATATACCAGAATGAGAGAGCAAGACGAACTCGACAACAAAAAGAAGAAGCATTGAACAAAAGGCAGTATTGCCAAGTTTTGAATTTGAAAAAGCACCAAATTTTTATTGGTGTATTTTATGGACTTTATATGAATACAAAATTTTATTGTAAGGATGCCGATTCAAATTAATAAAAATCAATGTTTCTTGCACAACGGTCGATTTCTTCTGGCATGATTGAATGTGCTGCACATATTTCGTTGTCGCTTATGATTGTCACTGTGCCATGATTTTGTTTAAATTTTTGTTAAATTGCTTAGCATACTTACGATTGCTATAAATTTTGCCTCCATTTTTTAAGATTTTCTAATTTGAAGTCTTCAAACTAAAAACAAAAGCACCAAAAACGCACCAAGCACAAAACTCAAAAATTTTCGCGTTTTGAATACCCACTAAATTTGATGCGAAAAGCATCAAGTAGGCAACAGTGAATGTAAACAAAAGTATATTATGACGTCAGCGATTGGGTGGATGCTGTCAAATCGACGAAGAGAGGGTTAGCGGTCCGCGAATGGCGCGACCTTTATTTTCTGGATCGTGGTTTACATGCATACTTATGATTTGTGCTGCTTGAGCGCATTTGCGTGAGATGGTGGTGGTTTTGCGTATACTATACGTATAGTGATGCGGTTGCGGCAGCGTACAAGATTCTTGCGACATTGATCAGACGGTTTACTGATTACGAGCTTATGCATGCGTGTGTGTGTGTGTGGGCATCTGCGAGAGAGTTTGCGAATTTGAATTTAACGAAAATAGAGAAAGAGTCCCATATTGGCACAGAGTCAATTGGACATTTGAGATAGATGCTTTTGAAGAAAAATCGAGAAAGAGTCCGATATTGGCATGAAGTCAATTGGACATTTGAGATATCTGCTTTCGAGAAACAATAGAGAAAGAGTCCGATGTTG